ACACAGCCCGCGTGCGCTCTTCTGCTCAACCTCTTCGAACGATAGCCGCCGGAAAGCTGGGCCTCCACCGGTCGTCGGATTTGCCGTTCCCGTCGGCGGATCTCGGCCTCTCGGCACTGGGTTGGTCTCGCGCGGTGTTTGGGATTGAAGTGAGCTCTCGGTGGAATCAGAGTAATTAGGGTAAGTGTTATAACCCGGCTTCCCTCCAAAATCCAACCGGGTCCCCCGACCCGCCCGGGCCTTCCGGATCCTATCCACCGCCTCCAGCCTGTCCTCCACCTGTTGGGCTAAGTCCATGACATCTAGCAAATGGCTGGGTCGGTGCATCTTTACCTCCGCTCTAATATCATCCCTTAATCCATTCAGGAAGGCACTTCGGAACACCTTTTCTGGAATTCCCTGCAAAGTCGCCGCCAACATCTCAAACTCCTCCCGGTACTCTGTCACCTGTCCTCCTTGCCGGAGCGCCATAAGCCGCTCCGTCGGGTCTCTTTCGCGCGTCCCGCTAAACCGGCGGAGGATGGCCTCCTGCAGGTCCTGCCAATCCACGAACGGCTCCTGAGTGTCGAGCCACTGGTACCACCGTAGGGCCTTTCTCTCCATGCAAACCGACGCCGCCAGCACCATGTCGTCCTCGTCGACGTCGTTGATGGTGAAGTATCGTTCGGCCCTGAACAACCACCCATGGGGGTCCTCACCTTGAAACAACGGTAATTCTAACTTCTTTCCCCTGTGTTCTCCCCGTGCTCGGGGTCTTGGCGGTGACCGGTAACGAGGGGGTCCGCCTCCCCTTCCGGCCGGTTCCCGTCGTGGAGGACTGAACCTACCCCGGACAAGTCGCTGCGGTCCCCTTCCTGGCGGTGAGTGTCCGTCTCGGGCTCTCCTCGGGGGCGAGGGGTCTTCCTCTGGCCGGCATGGTGGCAGCGGTGGTGGGGCACGTGCCTGCCTCATCAAGAAATCCTCCAGCCTCGTGATCGTTCCTTGGATTCCTTCGATCTTGGCTCCCATCGAGGCCATATTTCCCTGCATCTCTCCCATTTGTGTTCCCAGTGATTCAACCTCCCCTTGCCAACAGGGCATCCTCTCCACGCGGTCTATGATCTCCTGCAGGGTGTCCTAAAAACTGTTCAACCGCCTCTCCACGGAAGCTACTCGGTCAGCCTGGTTCGCCATGGATCGTAGGGCTTTGATACCAATTTGTTAGGAACCCAACAATTTAGTAGAAATTATGATGAAATAGTGAAGAACTCAACCAGAAAAGTGGTATGGTTTCTTGTGTTGATCAAGGTAAAAACCAAATTGCAGGAAACAAATTACAACTGAGAAATTAAGATGGAGGTGAGTTCGAGGACTCCTCCTAACCTCCACAGACTAAGTTCTCACACAAATTCTCAATGCCCTCTCCCTCTCCAGCCCTCCCTTATTTATTCTACTCTCCTTCCCTAACAAACTCTCGGGATCCTCACCCGTCCAAAACCTTCTTGTAACAAACTTCCCTCCAGCTAATTCAAGTCCAATCCCGGAACTACCCTTGCTCCTTCCTTCCCTGGGCCTGGCCATCCTTCTTTCTTTTCCTAGCATAAACAAACCTAAGGGGTGGATGCCTAACAAGCCTCAAGACCAAAAGCTTTGATAGTAAGAAGCTCTTGAAGGGAGTTTCTCATAACATCAATCTTTAGCCTACCAATTCCAACCACTACTTGCTTAGCCGCCATCCAATTAAAACGGAAACTAGGAACCACACCATAAAAAATAACCCTGTTTCCCAAAGATCAAATAGCCCAAAAGCTAGTAACAATCGCAGTAGACCATAAACTTGAGAACCAAAATCGAGCGGGACATAACCGCCTACCAAAAATCTCAGAGATATGATCCCAAATCTTAACAACAAAATCACATTATAAAAATAAGTGAGAAATAGATTCCTCATGCTTATAACAAAAACGACAAACTGAGGCAAAAACAAAACCTCTCTTTTTCATAACAGTCTCCACCAGAAGAGCGCCATGAAGAGCCTTCCAAACCATAATTTACTTTCTAGGAGGAATATAGCCATGCCAAATCTTTCTACCCCAAGACCGCTCAACAGAAGCCACACGAACCTTCTCATAAGTTCGAGCAGTAGTCAAACCACCCCCCAACGACTTAGTCCAAATGAGACGATCTTCACAAGCAACCGAAGTGCAACTAATAGCTTGAACAATATGAGGAAAACCATTAAAAATTTGAATCGGCGAAATGAACGGGGCCTAAGAAGAACCATCCCAAAAATCTAATATGAAAGATGAGCTCTAATGTGTTCAGGAACATTCAACAAGTCTACTAAAGAGACTTAAGCCAATTATCTTCCAAAGATTTACCTTTGAGTTTTTACCAACCAACCACCTAGATTCCAAGGAAAGCTTCGCCACTATCTTTTTTATGCCAGGCCAAATAGAAGAAGCAATTCGAGATTTAGGAACACCATCAGCCTTTAAAAAGCAGCCCTAAAGAAAGGAAAAATACCATCACGCTCAGAAATGAGATTCCAAGCCAACTTGTGCAAGCAAACTTTATGAAGAGCTAAAGATTTCTTATACCCAAACCCCTCACCAAAAGGTCTACAAACCTTATCCCAAGAGACAAAAAACATTTTTTTATTTTCCACCGAACCGGACCACATGAAATTCCTCATAGCTCTATCATCAACTAGCAGGAGAGACTTTGGCCAACAATACACCATAAAAGAATGTAAAAGAGAAGAAGTAGCCACTGTCTTAACCAACTCCACTCTACCAGCCATAGAAAGAAGACCACCCTTTTAAGAAGTAAGCTTACTGATCACCTTATCTGCTATGGGACGAAGATGAGCATAATTTGGCTTACCTTTAAAAATAGGGACTCCAAGATATTTAAAAGGCAAATCATTCCGCCTCATGCCAAGTAGATTTTCCAATAAACACTACAAATTTCTCTTTATTGAAAACTTTTTCTGAGCTCATACTATATTCATCAAGAAGATCTAAAATCCTACGTAAATTCCGCATAGACCCATTACAAAATATCATTAAAAAAAAATAAAAACATGAGAGAGCACAAACACCCTGAGGAGCTAAAACAGTAATAATATGACGTTCCTCCACCAACCGATTCAGAGCTTGGCTGAGGGCATCCTCAGCTAGACAAAAAAGAAAAGGCGACAAAGGATCCCCTGCCGAACGCCTCTAGAGCAAGAAAAGAAACCATGCAGTCGACCATTAACTAGAATAGACAGCTTAGCCGAAGCTAAAATACTCTTAATCCAACCCACAAACACGCAATTAAAACCCATTTTAACAAGAGTGGATGTAAGAAAATCTTATCGAAGAGTATCAAAGGCTTTACGAACATCCAACTTCAATCCCACATTGCCCCCAAAACATCTTTTATCCAAAAGATTAGCACACTCAGAAACTAGACCGATACAGTTTGAGATATTCCGACCTTTCGAAAAAAAAAGTTAAAGGTATCAATTTGCTAAACTTGTAAAGTTGATGTGGTGTTCATGCAAAATAGCCTTTACTTTATGTCAAAACCAAGAATAAATAGCTAGCCACTTCTTACTAGCTATATTTAGCCAGTGGAAAATGTTTTAGAACCATTTAGCTAATGGTTGGAGTGGAGAAAACTAAAAAAATCTAAATCATTAGCTATTTTAGCTAAAAATATAAAATGGCTAGTATGGTTAGAGTTGTTCTAAAATTGTGCCAGACAGACCCTATGCTTTTTGTGTATGAGCTTTTTTGTTCTTTTTCTGATACATCTGTTTTCGAATTTGATTTGTTAAACCGCAGCATAGCGAAGGAAGTCGTTGAAGGACAACCTCATAATCTTCTTGAGTCAGTCGCTCAGCTTATTGCATCTACAACCTTAACAAAACATCCTCAGATTTCGGCTGTTCGTGTGAAGGTCGGGAAGCCTCATGTTGCTGTTCATGGTCCCGTTGACTATTTGGGTGTTGAGATTCTTCGATACAGGAGTACTGATGTACCAAATTAGGAGAATTATTTTGGTTTCCATAACTTTGTCAGAATGCGTCCTTTAACTGGTTGGTATTAAGGATTGAGGAAATGGGGGTGCAAGCATGGACGAATTTCGCCAAGAATCATGCCTTAGCTTAAAACATACTCTCTTAGGTCTTCAATATGCCTTTTCTAGCTTTTGAATTTTTTGATTATAGACTACAAAATATGCTTCTCTTCTCTGTATGGGTCATGTTTCACATTTACTTAAACGTCTTACCAACTTTTACCTTAAGGTGGAGTTATCACTCGAGTGTTGAAAAAACAGCAGACCAAAGTAGTGAAGAATGTGGAAAAAAAAAAAAAAAAAAAGAGAGAGAAGTCATTAGCCATGGACTTTCTGACGTCCAGCGCATATTTTCTGAATATTAAAGTTACCATGTCACTGCAAATTTCTCAACCAAGAAGCAGCAAGGTTCTTATATCATGATCTTGTCTCTCTCTCTTTTTTTTTTTTTTTTTTTTTTTTTGGGATTGCATGAAGAATTCCCACCTTGACATTAGATTATTTTTCTCCGATATTTGCACACAAAATATGTCCTATGGATTAAGGAATTCAAGTTGCAAAGAGAGAGAGGAAGATGAATTCATTTCATTCATTTGCCATAGGTTGGTTGGTCAAAGCAAAACTACGTTCATTGCAGCAGCAAATGATAGCAAACGTGCAGAAACACGTCCATCTCAAAACTTATTCTCTTGACAAAGGATGAGTACATCACATCCACCAGAGGAAGAGAAAACACATCGAGCGGTTAACAGAAACAAGGGAGATCTCTAAAACTTCTACAAAATTTTGAATGGAATGTGAAGGACTCCAGAAGCTCGTTCATGCCGCTGTACCTCTCGATTCACCATTGCTGGCTTTGCCTTTCCTGTTCCAAATTGGAGTGGTCTCAATAAGCGTATGAGGGACAAGCCGCTTTTCCTTCTTGGAAAGCTTTCGGAAATTGTGGACTTTCAGCCGCGCTATCTTGGCCTCTTCCTCCGGGGTAGTTTCCCTTACTACCACCGTTAGTCGGCACTCTGGTCTCACTTTTATTCCACATCTTCCTTTAGCATGATATGCAATTCTCTTTTTGAATAATCCCTTCCCAAGAAAAGCCTCAGCTGCATAAAAAGAAGAAGAGGTGAATGAGTATAAGTAGGGTTAAGACACAATAGAGGAGTAAATCTTTTGCTTCTATCATATACCAACAAGGAGACGATCCGGATCCAACCCATGATTATGGGTTGCATTTGCTCGGGCAGAGTGAATAACCTATCAATAAATAAAAATAAATAAAAAATTCATCAGAAAAGGCAAAAAGCTGATTTAATAATCTTCTTCTCCAGCAATGATCTGAAGATACCTTCAAACATGAAGATTAAATACATGAGCATGAGTCAGAACGCTGGACATGAGTTGTCCAACTAAAAATGGTTAAATCATATAATACAAATCATAACTATCTATGCACAAGAAAAGGTTTGTCTAAAAATTATGTAAATGTTCAAACTTTTATCCCATGTTAATGATTCATAATTATGAATGGCGTTTGTGACTGAACAAGGTCTTAAACTGATTGAATCACCTGATAGACAGTTTTTGCTGCTCGCTTCACCGTCACTTGCAACTGCAACAATGCATCTTCAACACGCATTCCCCGAACTAATGCAGCAACCAAATTTACCTTCTTTGGACTCTGAGTAGTTACGTCAACATTAACAAAATCACATGATAAGAAAATGGATAATACAGAATGCAGTTGAAGAGCAGGTAGTTTGGTGGTACATATGGCTAGTCAAACTGCATTGAATTTTGAATTTTCATCTTAATACCATTTCGTGTCATCGAAAGCCATTTACCATATCCGAAATCTTAACTAATAATAACATATTCAAAACTGGGGGATTCTCTACCTGTTTTATGCATTTTAAGATGGCTTGAACTTGAGCAGGTTTAGAAACAGATTTCTGCTGCTGGTCTTCAGTTTTACCACTACCTATCGCCAAAACGGGAGGAGTCAATGGAGACCGAATAGGCACTTCATCAGTCGAATCTGCTTGTAATATTCTTGAAGTAGAAATTCCCTGTATTAACAAAGAGAAACACAAACAAGTTATTGCAGTAAAATAGGAAAAAGAATACTTTAAAGTAAAAAAACATATAATTTAATTTATCATGGTGTATTCTGTAATTAACATAATGCATCCATGTATAAAAGTCTCACAAATTCTATCAAAGTTTAAGAAGAATATTCAATATCACAATTTAAACCAATGCACTTCCAACCTCATATATCCAACCGATACAAATCCAAGAAAACGAGAACTAAAGACAAATATAAGCAAGGAATGCCAAATGACAGCAGTGCCTCAGATAATTAAAGCTGAAGCTGAGACAAGTTTGCTGGAATATATAGGACATAGTATGAAGCCCAAGCACGAACATAAGACAAATAAGCTCCAGTTGAATACAATAAACCTAAAAGAATCATGTGAGTGATTTTTCGTCTATTACAATACGTGTTTGTGGGGAATAATAATCTCCTCTGCTTTGCAAATTCATTATCTTCTCATATAAATATTAAAAACAAAAACCTTTGCTTAGAATATTCTAGACATGATGCAATCACCAACAATTTAACATTCTTGACTGTTTCCGCTTTCCAAGGTATAGGACAAAAGTTGGCAATAGTTAAAAATTAGGTAGACAAATTGAACAAATGCAAACATGTATATTGGTTGAACAAAGCTACCATTGAGAAGCAAACCGAAAGAAAGAACTAGTGAGAATTACCAACTGTTGATATAACTGATAAAACGGCCTCGAAATGGTTGCAGAAGGGGGCTTCAAAACCCTTTGGAGATAAGTCAACTCAGCTGCAAAAAATAGTTTGATAACATGAACAAATGACAATGTAGCATTTTTATACCCAAAAAAAAAAGACACTAAAATCTATAACTAGACTTAACAATATCCTTGTACCAATGGATCATAAAAAGTGACCTGGCAAGCGAAAGGACTCGAGGCGAGAACAACATAAGTTGGCAGATTGAGTGTAACCATGTTCAACTCTTTTTCCAACATGATTGAGTAAAGTTTTTATATGTCTTTGCCAGCCAACCATAGCTTCCAAGTTTATTCAAGAAAGAATTCTCTACCTTCAAAATACAAAACTTTTTTACAAACAAACAATAAGCAATATGTTAATTAGACATACATGATTTGAAAAGCAAAAATTTAAAGCATAAACATAAAATACACAAAAGAAAAGCAAAAGAAGAATAACATATGAAAGGAATTTCAAATCTAAAACTACAAATTCCAATGCCATTTTTCTGAAGAAACAAACATAAGGGAAATTCCAAGACACACAAAAGAAAAAAATCATTTCTTAAAAATGGATGATGAAAACACGCTTCAATGGTGTAAAATGGCATTTTTTTTTTTAGTAAAAGAAAGTATCTATTAAGTATTAACCGATAGATAAAATCAATGGTGGAAGATATCCAACCATTAAAATGTGTCTTTCTATCCAAAAAGCAAATAAGGATAAATCATGTATCGTAAAAACAACACATAAAAGATTTATCAAACTGCCTGAAAGAAGAAATAAGCAATGAGGACAATTATCTGAGAATGAAGCCAAATGCAAAACAGACCTGAAAATAATAATAATAATAATAATAATAATAATAATAATAATAATAATTAGGATATAAATAATAAATTAGTAGCATGATTAAGGAAAATCAATAGAAAAATATACTTAATCTTGAAACCACAGTCAAATTTCCAGCATATGTATTTGAAGGATTGCAATATTTAACCAAGGTTGATTTTTTAGGAGAAAGGACGGAAGGCCTTCATTACCAGCCTCCTTTTAATACATAGCAAAGTAAAACACTTTTAGGGAACCAAAAACACTAAAAAACAATAATAAAAATAAGACTAGTTGTAACAAGAAATAAGAGTGGTTGTTGACTTTTGAAATAAAAGTGACTGATAAAATGCAGCTATCCTAATAAGGGGGAATTTTTGAAAATGTTTCAGAATGAAATGGAGGGAAATTTTTAATAACTGCGTCGAAAAGTAAATGTCCATGTTAGCAAAAATCAGCAAACATGATAATAGTAATGGGATTTAACATTAATAAGAGATTAAAAAATGTATATATTTTTAAAGAATTATAAAGAAAAAGTAACTTATGAGGAAACTTAAGTAATGTAGCATTTAGATCTAAATCATTATCTTTTCTGTTATTAAAAAGAAGAATTAAAAATAATCATAAGAAGTTGTCCTCATAATAACTAGACAATACGAGTAAAACTGCAAGAAAAGAACTATTGAAACACCCATAAGGGAGACTATTTAAACTCTTACACGAAGAGACTGGTGAAACTCAAGAGAAAATAATACTACATTGACTAAAGAAAATTGTGAAGTATGATATCAGTTGTAACAAAACAGAGAGAGAAAATTTAAAAGCAAAGTATAACTATGATACAAGACAATGACGTAGATTATTATACACGAATAAACAACAACATGTATAGGAGAATTTGAGTCAATAGGAAAAAATCAATTAGGCAGAGGAACAAGCATAAAACCTTCGCATAACGCAACAAGTGCGGAAACTAACTAAAGAAACACCCAGACAAACAAGAATAAACTCAAAGATATTCCAGAAAAAAAAAAGCCATATAGTGGGAATACATATGGATTACAGAAGAAGCTCCAACCCAATCAAGTTACTAAACAAAGAAAGAGGAAAATAATCCTAATCTATACAAATCATTAAAAACCATTCACACAGTGCTTAAGCCAAACACTAAGGGTATGTTCATTTTATGACTCGAGTCATATTGCTACAGTATTTTCTCTCACAAAAATTCAAATTCAACTTTTTTGTTAGTGTTTTTCTAAAACATACGCAACTCAAGTCATAACTCAAGTGCGAAAGAACAAGCCCTAAATCTAACATATTTTGGTCAGTGTCGATACTACTATTATAGTCTAGACATAAAATTAGTCAAGCCAACATAAAAGAAATTGCAGAAGTTTACTACTCTCTAAAGTAACGGGACGATAATTAATACATTGTATTAAAACAATAATCAATTTATGCAAAGTAGTACCATACTCTACTTGAATTACCCAAAGAAAAAACAAAATTACACAATCAAACTTCTGAATGTTAAAACAAATTCTTAAAATAAAGCAAAACATGAGCAAGCGATAATAAGAAGAACAAAAAAAAAAAAACTTGTAAATCCATTAGTGATTAAAGGCAATGCTACATTAGAACCGTGCAGAATCACTTCCAATCAATGGAGATCGGAGATATCATGCAGTAGAAAACAAGAGTTGAACACAACTTTCGAGATGGGAGGTTCGTTAAACTCATCGATTGAAAGGTAAAGTAGAGCATATTTTCCATAGGCAGAACAGAAGACGGAATTGATGTGAGAGAGAGACCTTTTCGGAATAGAGGCAAGGAGATCAGAATGAGAGCAATCGAAGGAGACGTTACTTCCTTCCTCGGGGGTTTCTTTGAAACTCAGCCACAGAAATCTACCCCCAAGTCCTCCGATTTCATTTGTGCCAAGGGCGGGCGTGAACCGAAAGTATTATTCCGAGATTAAAGACAGAAACTTTACCAGATTCTTAGACGAAAGCAGCGAAATCGAAGAAGAAGATTTGCTTTAGGTTGTGCTGCTGTAAATACCCTAGTTGTGCAAAGGATAGAGAGAGAGGGCGATGAGTTTGTCCGCATCAAGTTTAGATGTAATAACATTTTTCTTGAAAATTAACATAAGTTTTAGGGTTGTGTGAGAGAGTTGAAAGGTAAAATTAGCAAAGTTTAGATTGTACCAAACGAAATCTAAATAAGGAATGAAAAAAAGATTGAACCACTAAGAACGGCACAACGGCAGTGCAAAATGCCAGAGTCTAGATTGAGTTGTGTGAGAGAGTTGAGTGCGACTTATTACGGCTCTAAGTGCAAGTGTTTAAGGGGGAAAAAAAATAAAAGATTGAAAAAAGAATTTAACTTCAAGCATTCTACTTCTACAGAACCAAACATAAGGTTGCTAGCTTTGAAGCATTTTACTTCTACAGAACCAAACATAAGGTTCATTCTTCATATTACAGCACAACAGATATATATATGAGTTCTCAATATGAGTTATCAACAGCATAAGGTTCATAATATATGAGTTGCTAGCTTTGATGTCAATCTCGACTTGGGTGGTGTTTTTTGGTTGATGGAGGTTGTGTCTCAGGCGGCGGATGCAAAGAAGGATGGAGCTTTCTTGAGAAAATACAGGGGTTCATCTTATGTTTTAGTCGTGGAGGTAAAGAGGAAAACAAAAAAGGATGGAGAGATTTGAATCGATGTCTGGAAAATTTCTGTTGCAAAAAAATCCAGACTTCCAAGAATAAAACTCTCATGGGGAAAGATTTCACTCCAGCGGCTGCTAAACACAAATCGTGAAAGGAGAAAAAATCGTGGCCGTTCTGGTTCAAACCCAGATGCGCCGACGACGATTTTGACATTTTTGGGTTTTCTCAAGTGAGATTCTCAAGTTCAGATAAAAAATTAACACAAATTGTGAAAGAAAAATTTTTCCCAAAAAAAGGAGAAAAAAGGGAATCATACTCTAGTGGTGGCGGCAGAGGAAAGTCCGGCAACGGCGTGGTGGATCGGAAGGCGGCGGCGGCGTCCTCGACGGAAGCGGTGCTGGGTCTGGACGAGAGAGAGGCTGGGTCTGGACGAGAGCGAGAGATGGGTGAGATGCGTGGGTGAGAGAAATGGTAGGGCAAATTGTTTCGGTAAATATTACTTTTCCAGGAAAGTGAATAACACATGTTAGTTTAGGATTATCTCAAAATGTAAGAATGTGAATTTTATGAACTTCACTTTTTTAGATTTTAAAAAAGTTTAATAATTATACTAAATATGAAAATTTTTCAAATTTTCATTCTCACTTTTAAAATTACCCTATACTAAACGTCCTTTTAGGCCTCATTTATTTCACCGATTTGAATTTTTAATTTTAAGTTTTTACAGTAAAAAGCTCTTAAAAAATGTCACATCTAACTTTTTCTATTACAGTGAAAAGTTTTCAGAAAATATCACATCTCAACTCAAATTAAAAACTCAAATCTACAAAGTGAACGAAACCTTAGTCATTTTATTCACTTCAAAAGACGTTTATTTTTGTCAAATATTATTAGTTAATATACTTTGGGCTTATATTGCGGATGGAGCATTTCTCACTATATGTAGAGTATATTTTCTAATATATGTTTAACAACATATGTAAGTTTTTTTTTTCAAATATATATATATATATATATATTATCTAAGTACATATGTAACTATGGAATCTCAATAATATTTTAATTTTACATTATTTTATGTTTGTATTTAATTTTGTTATTAATTTTATGAGAATATTGAAAACAGAGATGGACTACAAGAGTTAAGGTCCAAAACGTAAGTTAATTCACAAATACGCATAATTTAATCCGTGAAATATGTTGCTTATTAAATTGGATTGAGGGTCTAACGAACTAGTAATATATTGAGATTTTTCCAATCCGTAGTAGGATTGGATTGTGAATTGATCTCTAATTTGTACAATCCAGTCTGCAAACACTCCTAAATATTTGGATGATTTGTCAAAAGAGTTTCGGCTTTTAAGAAAAGCTTTTAGTAATAAAACCATTCAAGTATTCTGAAAAAAAAAAAAAACACTTTAAAATTTATACAAGTTTTATTAAGACATTATAATCTTCATTCCAACACTCTTATTTTTTATTAAAAATTTGAAAAACTATTTTAACGATTAAGTTATTTTAAAACTTTTTTTTAAAAAAAATCACACTTTTTACTTCTCTTTGAAATGCAAAACCCCATCTTAATATGAAAAGAACATTTCATATAAAAAAAGTCTCTCTCTTTCTAAAGTTTTGTTCTCTCTAAACTCCCTCTTTGGAGTGTTGTGTTTGGTTGAAGCTCCGGTGCCGCCTATGGGCGCGTTGCCGGGCTTCCAATCCTAAAATTTGGTCTCCAAACTCGCCTCGTTGTTGTCTTTTCCGTGGTGATGGCAGTGTGCGGAGTGGTGCTTTCGTTGGAGCGGATTTGACACGCTTTAGAAGTGGGGTGTCATTCGTTTGGATTGTTGTTTCCAACATGTTCATCAGATGGTGGCCATGCTATCTTGTTGTTTTGTTTCATGCAGTAGTGGGCTTCTCTTGGAGGTGGTGTTTTCGATTGCCGGCTTTTCTCGACCTTGCTGTATCTCTTTCAAAGTCCTTTGCCTTTTCCGGGTGGTGCTCTCACCGGAGTTGTTTGATGGCGGGTCTTGGGGTCTTTTTGTGTTTATTGTGTTTTTATTTTTAGTGTGTTTTCTTTATTGTAATAACCGGGGCTTTCACTCCGTTATCTTGGTTTGTTTTTTGTGTCCGTTTGCTTATCTTCCTGAGAGGAATTTTATCAAATAGAGCCTTACGAGTGCTGAGATATTCTCCCGTTAAGTGTATGTCTGTTTCCCCATTGAGTCATTAGTCTTGTTTTGTGATGTTTGTTACTCTGTTTTTGTTTAAATGCGAGTTCACTAAGATATGGGTTTTTATTAAAAAAAAAAGAGAAGAAAAAAAAACCATCTTAATTTATCCTCCCATTTTTAACTATTTGTAGGGTTTGTTGCTTGGATTTTGGGATATAGGTGTCCCTTAAATTGACGTCGTCGTTTGAGTGGAGTTTGTTTGACCTCTTGTCATTTGTCGCTTCTTTCTTCTTTTTTTCCCCTCTGAAAAGAACAGTTTATTGTCGTTTGTAGTGCTGAAACTTTGGACGGGCCGCCCACGACTGCTAGAAAAAATTGATTTTGAGCCTGATGCCCGACTCGACCCGCCTGAATTTTTCGGTCTGCTCACCCGAGCCCGTGAACAGGCGACGGGCCTAGTTTTGGCTGCCCGAGCCCGGTTGGGCATCCCGAGCCCGCCCGAATTGTCCGAAAAAAATCTTTTCTTATATTTTTTAATTTTTATAATATTGTATATATATTTTATATAATATACTATTATTTAGTAATTGTATTTGTATATAAATAATTATTAAGTTATTTTGTGTTAAAATTATATAAAAACTAAAATCAACATTCAACACACGTTATTAACACAATTTAATAAATTAATTTTTAAATTCTTAATTCATTATTGCCTTGTTAAAAACCTTACTATGAAAAACTCAATTAGGATGAAAACTTGGTAAGGAAAAAAGAGTGCAATCATTTTGAGACGAATTACAAATTTTACAAACTTACAAAGTCTAAATATACAATTACAATGTCGAAAGCAAATACATATTTACAAATTACAATTTAATTTGAAGCTGAAGGATTGTCTTTAAAATTAAATATTAATATATTAAATTCATCGATCCATTCTTGACTTGCCGGTGAAATTGTATCCTGTAAACGTTGATCGGCACGATCCCAATCCTTAATGCAGACAAAGGCTTCAACAATGTCCATTTGCAATGTATTTCGGCGTTCCTTAAGTATTCATCCGGTTGCACTGAAGGCTTGTTTGTATGAAACAATGGAGACTCGGATCGAAAAAATATCCATTGCCAATCGAGTTAGGATTGGTCAAATTAATGCTTGTGTCCTACACCATTGAACTAAGTCAAATGATTCTCTAGTACCGTCGACTACTAAGCTCTCATTGAGGTATGCCATAAGCTCATTGAAGCTGCCGCCGCCGCTGCCACCTGTTGATGAAGATCCACTCCCAGCTTCTGTTTGAGTCGTCTTCTTCTTCTTCTTCAACCCGAAAATATTCAAGAATGAATGCGGGTTTTCATCTTGTTGTTGCGGTTCCTGTGCTCCAGAGTTTGTGTTTCTAAACCTATTCTCATATTTACTATAGATCGAAAATATTTTTACCTTTATTGTTAGAAATTGGTGAGAACAATTGATGCCTAAAAATTCACCTAAGTTTTCTAAACCACTTTATAAACCGTCTAATTTTAATCTATCATAAAAAAGAGTACCGAAACCATACAATAAAGGTAATTTAGACCAATATTTTTTAAATTTCTTTTCCATAAAAGCGATAGGAACTCCTAAGATTGGGTTCGTCCTATATTCACTAAATAAAATACTAATTCTTAAAAGTTCACCTAAAGCTAAAGGTGATGTTGGGTAATATATTCCACTAAGTTTTAAAGTAACTTCATGAAACCTACTTAAAAATTGATACAAAACTTCAGCAATTTGCCAATCATATGCATCTATATGTCTTATTCCTAATTTTGCACATATATAGTTTGTTATATCATCCTTATAGGAGATGCATTGTTGAAGCATAATATAAGTTGAGTTCTATCTTACATGCATATCTAAGGCTAATGCTCTAGGAGGTAGATTTAATGTTTGTAAGAACCTAAATCAATATTGTTCTCTTTGGTTACTACCTTGAATCCATGCAATACTATCTCTAATTCTTTTAATGTGAATATCTATTTCTTTTAAACCGGATTGAATTATTAAATTAATTACATGGCATACACAACGTTGATGAAAAATAGTGTCATCACTGAATAAACTTAAATCATTTTTGAAGTACTCAATTGATTTAGTATTTGCACTAGCATTATCTAATGTTATAGCCATTACTTTTTCTCTTAATCTAAATTCATCAATTACATTTAAAATTATATTATATATTAAATCGGCGCTATGTGATCCTAAAAGACATTTAAAACCTAATATTCTCTTATCTAAATAGAATTCTTTAAAGTAATGTCCGGTTACAGCTAAATAATCTTTATGTGCAATGGCAGACCAAATATTTACCGTTAACGCAACGCAACGGCTAATCAAGTCTAAAAGATTTATTAATGCTTCTTTTTCTTCTTAAAATAATTTTAACAAATATTTCATAAGAGTAGTTTTTGAAGTGAACTGCGCATTAGGATTATGTACAACTTTAATATATTGTTGCCAATTAGGATGCTCTACAAAACTAAGTGGTTGATCTAATGCAGCTATCATTCGCGCAACTTCCATACGATCTACTTGCGGATCGTATTTTCAAGTGGTCAGACCACTAATTACGCGATCAAAACATAATTGTGTTTGCTAGAGTTCGGCTCCGCCGGACTAGCTAAGCTTTTGAAGACACTTTTTAGAGTGTCTTCTTAAGTGTGTTGTGCTGTGAATAGTGTCACCTTGTAATTTAGATAAACAATATTTACATTGAGCTATATGTTTAGTGTTACCTTCATTGTCGATCTCCTCAATTGTGTCGAAGTGATCCCAAACTGTCGAGGTGTGCTTGCATTTCCTCTTGGGGGTTGCAACACTTGCAAACGCAGTAGCACTTGCACTCGCCGCTTCTCCACACCCACCACCATTGTGACCACGACCTCCAGTACGTCCACCAGGGTTCGGATTAGTAGATTCCTGCGTAATAAATTTATTAGTGGGAAATTGTCCTTCTTCCACGTTGTGTTGGGTATCAACAGGAATACCACTATAACCAAAAGAATCCATTATAAAAAATAAGAGCGATTTGAGAGAGAGCTTTAGGATATTGTGATATTTTTAGAAAAATTATGAGAGAGATATTCAGAGAAATTGAGAGGGATTGAGAGAGTTTGAGTGAGAAAAATGTGTGGGGGATGGAGGGTGTTTATTGGAAAATTTTTAGGTTAAAAAATTAATTTTTTTCTCCAAAATTCAGATCCAATGGTTATTTTTTGTCTCAGCGGGTCGGGTTCGGGCCGAAAATTGGGCAACGGTTAAAAAAAAGAGCCATTGGATTCGGGCAGGTTGGGCTTCAGGTCGGACACCAATGGTAAAAAATATATCCGTTGGTCGGGCTCGGGTTTCGGGCAATTCGGGCTGTTCCGGCTTGAGTGAAAAAATTCAAAAAAATTCTGGCGGACGGCGGTTGACGGCTATATCATAGCGGCGGACTCCGGTGAATTATCCATTTTCGGGCAATCCGAGCCCAAGCCCGAAAATAGAGTTGAACGGGCCGGCCTCTGGGCTTGCCTGCCGAGCCCAAAAATTTCGGGCTTCTCAGGAAAGTGCTTCTTTTGGTTGGTTCGTTCTTCTCAGGAAAGCTCTGATCAGAAGCTAAAATTTCATTTTGCTATTACCGTTTGGTTCTCAGGAAAGTTGGTTCGTTTTTCTCAGAAAAATGGCAACGGTCGGATCACACGGTAGGGTCCACTACGATCTTCCAATACCATCGGTGAGGATTCGCAGTAACCCCAAAAATGCTTCTTTTGGTTCACTCAAACCTTGGCTAATATCTCACCATTCCAAGTTTGGAAATTTTTATTCTGAATTACGACTCCAGAGGAAAATACCATCTCCGGAATCAATGTCAACACTTGGGGTATTATCCTCTAATCAGTCTACAATGGATTTTTCAATGTCTGGTGACCTAATTAAGGACCACGTTGATAGTGGATTTCCCGAAGATGCACTAAAGGTGTTTGTTAAAATGCTCGAGTGTGGTTTTCCACTAGACGAATTTCGTTTTTTCCCCGTTTTGATCAAGGCCTTTGGAGTCATATCTGATGTAGAAAAAGTTAGAGAAATTCACGTACATTTGGTGAAATTAGGAGTTTTGGATGACATTTATGTTGCGAATTCGCTTTTAGGTGTGTATTGGAAGTGTGGAGAGGCTAGGGATGCTATTCAATTGTTTTGGAAAATGCCGAAGAAGGATTCGGTTTCGTGGAACACAATGATATCTGGGTTTTGTCGTTCGGGAGATTACATGGGCTCATTGAGAATGTTTAGTCAGATGATCAGAGAACATGGGGTGCTCCCCAATAGGGTAGCTTGCCTTTCGGCTCTCTCGTCATGCTCGGCGCTCAAATCTTTGCTTCACGGAAAAGAGATTCATGCTTTTGTTTTGAAGAGTGGATTGGATTTGGATGATGATTTCTTAATTAGTGGATTGGCGGATATGTACATGAAATGTAGGGATGTAAAGAATGCCGGGTACATATTTGAAGGCATTCTCGATAAAGAGGCGGTGAGAGAAAACGCGGTAATATGGAATGTGATGATCCTAGGCTATGTCTCCAATGGGTATTTCTCGCAGGCAGTGGAGTTGTTCGTAGAGATGTTGGAAAGTGGCATATTGCCAGAATCTTCTACAATGGTTGCTGTTTTAGTTTTATGCTCGGGGCTGCTGGATTTAGCAGTAGGAAAGCAAATTCACGGGTTTGCTATTAGCCATGGATTGGACAAAGATGTGAGAGTTGAGACAGCTCTTATAGACATGTATTTCAAATGCGGATATGCTAAAGCTGGTTTAGATATCTTCAAAACCTCCCTGAATCGTAATATTGTCATGTGGGGTGCTGCAATATCAAATTGTGCCCAAAGTGGTCTTCCCTCTGAGGCATTGGACTTATTTCACAACTACAGAATGAAAAACGGGTTTGCCGATTCTCTCATAGTTTTGGCTGCTTTGCGGGCATGTTCATCCTTGACTCTGAAGTCGAAAGGCTTGGAAATTCACGGACTAGTGGTAAAATCAGGATTTGGCTCAGATGTTTTCATTGGCGGTGCCTTAGTTGATATGTATGCTAAATGTAGAGATATTGAGTCTGCTGAAAAGGTCTTCTACAGGCTACTTGATAGAGATTTGATCACATGGAATGCGTTAATATCTGGGTATGCTCAGAACGGATGTCCAGATGAAGCTTTAAAAGCAATCCACGATATGCAATCTGAACGGATCACACCAAATTCTGTAACGAGTGCATGTGTTCTTTCGGTTTGCGCTCATTTGTCAGCAATGACCTTGTGCAAGGAGGTTCATGGCTATTTATTACGACGGGGGTTTGGCTCCAATGATCTGATCAGCAATTCTCTTATAGCCACATATGCAAAATGTGGGGATATAAATAGCTCGAGGACAATATTTCGGAAAATGCCTGAAAAGAATGAAGTATCATGGAATTCGGTTTTCCTTGGATTAGGTATGCACGGCCATGCAGATGAAGTGTTTGTTTTATTTGAAGAAATGGAAGAATCAGGGATGAAACCTGACCATGCAACTTTTACAGCTCTTCTCTCTGCATGCAGCCATGCCGGAAGACTTGAAGAGGGATTTAAATACTTCAGAAGTATGGTGGAATGCTACAAACTCGAACCTCAACTTGAACCGTACACTTGTATGGTTGATCTTTTAGGCCGAGCGGGTCAACTAAAGCAGGCGTATGATATGATTCTGGCCATGCCTTGCGCTCCCGACGATAGAATATGGGGATCATTGCTTGCAGCATGCAAAAGTCATGGGGATAGAAGATTGGCCGAAGTTGTGGCTGATCACATCTTGGAACTTGATCCGACAAACATTGGCTACAGAATCCTTCTTTCAAACCTTTATGAAGATTATGGAAAATGGGAGGAAGTTAACAGGGTTAGGACAGAAATTAAAGACATGGGACTCAAGAAGAGCCCCGGATGCAGTTGGATTGAAGTTGATAATGATATTCATACCTTTGTCGCGGGTGATCGATCTCATCATCATACGGTGGATATATATGATGCTCTTGAAAGGTTGACATTGCAGATTAGAAAGGCAGGATACGTTCCCCAATCCCCATTGGTAACTGTTGGACCCAGTGATGTTCTCCATAAAGATCTTACATCAACTAAAACCAATAGTTTGTTGTTTTTGGCTACAGCTAGAGACAAGGACCAAGCTGCTTCAGCGAAAATTATGACATAATGACTTCTCAACTCTCAAGTTTACAATGATGCTGTTCATCCCAACAGAATGTTCTCATGTCCTTATAATTGGTTGACTTTTCTTCTCGCAAGATGTACAGTGTAAGTTTGACTTTTTACATCCATTTCCCCTCATCAGAAGTCTCTCATTATTTATTTATTTATTATTTTATTTTGCATGTCTCTTTCTGGTTTATTAAAAGATTACTTTGCATTGTCATGGTCTTCCAGGCATGCAGGAACAAGTTGGATATGAAATCTACATCATGAACTGCTCTATGATCTATATGACTAAGAAAAGCATTTCAAGAAGATGTTGACGTTTATCACTATACATTTCTCCCATTGATGGTAACACATATTGAGACCTTTGCTAGTCTTGGATGATTACGGGACTAATTATTTGTTAATCTTTGGAAGATTGGATAATCTCGATAGTGATGAACGGTTTACAAATTACGCGGCCCCGGTGTGTTACTGGATCTAGATACTCATTCAAAGCCACTGAAGCTGTTGCTTACTTTGCTACAGCACAATGCGAGAGTTATGCAAAGAATCTGTTACAAGGGTTTGGCTAGTAATTCAATTGAACTGCTGATGTGGCAAGTTCCGAGATCATGATTGGTTTATTGAATATTTGGTGTATAATTAATTAACCGTGTGGTTAGTTTAGTGTTAACATCTTTTTTTTTTTTTTTTATACCTGGTGGTTTGTTTTGTTTTAACATTTTTTTTTTTTTTTTTTTTTTTTTTTCTTGTATATATTGTTATAGTCCTATACTCCTATTAAATAGGATCCATTCTTGTGTAGTATATAAAAGATTGCTAAAGAGATGCGAACCTAATCAGTTTTTATTCTAATGGTTCTGTTATAGTACTTTTTTGACAAAAATTTTAATTGATGTTTGGTATATGAATTCTGCTATAATGTATTTTGATTCTGCTACAATATTTTTTTAATTTAAATTTCAAAAGTATAATCAAGAACTTGATTTAAACTTTGGTTTGAACCCATATACTCAACGGGCCTTTAATTTTAGCTGGTTTGGTACTTAATTGTCGTTTAGGGAAAAATAAATAAACAAATTATGGGCCTGTTCAGTTCGTTGATTCGAGTTTTTAATTTGAGTTGAGATGTGGCTTATTTTTTTTCTCAAATTTAAATTTCAAAAGCATAATCAAGAACTTGATTTAAACTCTCGTTTGAACTCATATACCTAACGGGCCTTAAATTTTTGTTGGTTTGGTACTTAATTGTCATTTAGGAAAAAATAAATAAACAAATTATGGGCTCGTTTAGTTTGCTGATTCGAGTTTTTAATTCAAATTTAGATGTGACTTTATGTTAGAGTTTTTTACTGTAACAAAAAAGTTAGATGTGACTATTTCTGAGAGTTTTTTACTGTAGCAAAACTTAAATTCTAAATTCAAATCGGTGAATTTGACTTTATATTAGCAAAAGTTGACAGTTGTGGGATTTGAACCAACCTCATTAAAAAATGGTGTCGCTTATTGCATTAATTCCTAAAAATCGTATATTAATTTTAGAATGCAAAACATTAAAAAATTCTAAATCTAGGTCTAAAAATCTTATATTAATTTTAGAATTCAAAACATAAATAAAAACGTATACTTTTTACCCATCGCGGCCCCGATGCGCCCCACTACACGGCCCGGGGGCTTTTTGACAGCGTTCTATTTTTTTATCATTTTTGAGGCCATTTTTTACACGCATGCCCATAAAAATGTAAGGAACGTGTCTGCAAAATTTCATAATTTTTTGACGTCGTTTTAATTTAATTTAATTTTTTAAAGACAAAAAATAAAGAAAATCATAAAAAATAGAATATTCATCAAAAATAGTGCCGCTTGTTGCATTACTTCCTAAAAGTCGTATATTAATTTTACAATGCAAAACATAAATAAAATTGTAAATTTTTTATCTATTCCAGCCCCTGGGCGCCCCAATATGCAGGGCGGGGGCTTCTTGACAGCGTTTTACTTTTTTTTTTGTCATTTTTTGAGGGCATGCCAAGAAAAACATAAGGATCGTGTCTGAAAAATTTCATAATTTTTTGACAACGTTTTTATTTTATTTTATATTTCAAATACGAAAAATAAAGAAAATCATAAAAAATAAAATATTCATCAAAAAATAGTGTCGCTTCTTGCATTAATTCCTAAAAATCGTATATTAATTTTAGAATGCAAAACATAAATAAAAATGTATATTTTTTACCCATCCCGGCCCCAAGGCGCCCCTTTTTGACAGCGTTTTACTTTTTTTTGTCATTTTTTGAGGCCATTTTCTGCAGGCATGCCCAGAAAAAAAGCAAGGATCAACTCGTATACCCAACGGGCCTTAAATTTTAGTTGGTTTGGTACTTAATTGTCATTTAGGGAAAAATAAATAAACAAATTATTGGCCCGTTTAGTTCGCTGATTCGAGTTTTTAATTCGAATTTAGATGTGATTTTATGTTAGAGTTTTTTACTGTAACAAAAAAGTTAGCTGTGACTGTTTCTGAGAGTTTTTTTACTGTAGCAAAACTTAAATTCTAAATTTAAATCGGTGAATTTGATTTTATATTAGCAAAAGTTGACAACTGTGGGATTTGAACCAACCTCATCAAAAAATGGTGCCGCTTATTGCATTAATTCCTAAAAATCGTATATTAATTTTAGAATGCAAAACATTAAAAAAATTCTAAATCTAGGTCTAAAAATCTTATATTAATTCTAGAATGCAAAAGATAAATAAAAGCGTATATTTTTTACCCATCCCGGCCCCTGGGCGCCCCACTACACGGCCCGAGAGCTTTTTGACAGCGTTTCATTTTGTTTTTGTCATTTTTTGGCCATTTTTACTCGCATGTCTAGAAAAATGTAAGGATCGTGTCTGTAAAATTTCATAATTTTTTGACATCATTTTAATTTTATTTTATTTTTTAAAGATGAAAAAATAAAAAAATCATAAAAAATAGAATATTCATAAAAAAATTAGTGCCGCTTGTGGCATTACTTTCTAAAAATCGTATATTAATTTTAGAATGCAAAACATATATAAAATTGTAAATTTTTGATCAATTCCCGCCCCTGGGCACCCCACTGCGCAGGGCGGGGGCTTCTTGACAGCATTTTACTTTCTTTTGTCATTTTTAGGACATTTTTTGTGCACATGCCCAGAAAAATGTAAGGATCGTGCCTGTAAAATTTCATAATTTTTTGAAAGCGTTTTTTATTTTATTTTATATTTCAAATACGAAAAATAAAAAAAAATCATCAAAAAATAAAATATTCATCAAAAAATGGTGCCGCTTCTTGCATTAATTCCTAAAAATCGTATATTAATTTTAAAATGCAAAACATAAAGAAAAATGTAAATTTTTTACCCATCCCGGCTTCTAGGCGCCCATTTTTGACATCGTTTTACTTTTTTTGTCATTTTTTGAGGCCATTATTTGTAGGCATGCCCAAAAAAAGCAAGGATTGTGTCTGTAAAATTTCATAATTTTTTGACATTTATTTTATTTTATTTTATTTTTCAAAGATGAAAAATAAAGAAACTCATACAAAATAAAATATTCTTCAAAAAATGGTGCCGCTTCTTGCATTAATTCTTAAAAATCGTATATTAATTTTAGAATGCAAAACATAAATAAAAATGTAAATTGTTGACCAATCTCGGTCCCTAGGACCCTTTTTTGAGAGTGTTTTATTTTTTTTGTCATTTTTAGGCCCTTTTTTGCATGCATGCCCAGAAAAAAGCAAGGATCAACTCGTATACCCAACGGGCCTTAAATTTTAGTTGGTTTCGTACTTAATTTTCATTTAAGAAAAAATGAATAAACAAATTATGGGTTCGTTTAGTTCGCTGATTCGAGTTTTTAATTCGAATTTAGATGTGACTATATGTTATAGTTTTTTACTGTAACAAAAAAGTCAGATGTGACTGTTTCCGAAAGTCTTTTACTATAACAGAACTTAAATTCTAAATTCAAATCGGTGAATTTGACTTTATATTAGCAAAAGTTGATAGCTGTGGGATTTGAACCAACCTCATAAAAAAATGGTGCCGCTTATTGCATTAATTCCTAAAGATCGTATATTAATTTTAGAATGCCAAACATTAAAAAAATTATAAATCTAGGTCTAAAAATCTTATATTAATCTTAGAATGCAAAACATAAATAAAAACATATATTTTTTACCCATCTCGGTCCCTAGGACCCTTTTTTTGACAGTGTTTTATTTTTTTTTGTCATTTTTAGGCTATTTTTTGCATGCATGCCCAGAAAAAAGCAAGGACCAACTCGTATACCCAACGAGCCTGAAATTTTAGTTGGTTTCGTACTTAATTTTCATTTAGGAAAAAATTAATAAACAAATTATTGGTCCGTTTAGTTCGCTGATTCGAGTTTTTAATTTGAATTTAGATTTGACTTTATGTTATAGTTTTTTACTGTAACAAAAAAGTCAGATGTGACTGTTTCCGAGAGTCTTTTACTATAGCAGAACTTAAATTCTAAATTCAAATCGGTGAATTTGACTTTATATTAGCAAAAGTTGACAGCTGTGGGATTTGAGCCAACCTCATCAAAAAATGGTGCCGCTTATTGCATTAATTTCTAAAAATCGTATATTAATTTGAGAATGCCAAACATTAAAAAAATTATAAATCTAGGTCAAAAAACTTATATTAATTTTAGAATGCAAAACATAAATAAAAACGTATATTTTTGACCCATCTCGGTCCCTAGGACCCCTTTTTGACAGTGTTTTATTTTTGTTGTCATTTTTAGGCCCTTTTTTGCATGCATGCCTAGAAAAAAGCAAGGATCAACTCGTATACCCGGGCCTTAAATTTTAGTTGGTTTCATACTTAATTTTCATTTTGGAAAAAATGAATACACAAATTATGGGTCCGTTTAGTTCGTTGATTCGAGTTTTTAATTCGAATTTAGATGTGACTTTATGTTATAGTTTTTTACTATAACAAAAAAGTCAGATGTGACTGTTTCTGAGAGTCTTTTACTATAGCAGAAGTTAAATTCTAAATTCAAATCGGTGAATTTGACTTTATATTAGCAAAAGTTGACAGCTGTGGGATTTGAACCAACCTTATCAAAAAATGGTGCCGTTTATTGCATTAATTCCTAAAAATCGTATATTAATTTTAGAATGCCAAACATTAAAAAATTATAAATCTAGGTCTAAAAATCTTATATTAATTTTAGAATGCAAAACATAAATAAAAACGTATATTTTTTTACCCATCTCGGTCCCTAGGACCCTTTTTTGACAGTGTTTTATTTTTTTTGGTCATTTTTAGGCCATTTTTTGCATGCATGCCCAGAAAAAAGCAATGATAAACTCGTATACCCAACGGGCCTTAAATTTTAGTTGGTTTCGTACTTAATTTTCATTTAGGAAAAAATTAATAAACAAATTATGGGTCCGTTTAGTTCGCTGATTCGAGTTTTTAATTCGAATTTTGATGTGACTTTATGTTATAGTTTTTTACTGTAACAAAAAAGTCAGATGTGACTGTTTCCGAGAGTCTTTTACTATAGCAGAACTTAAATTCTAAATTCAAATTGGTGAATTTGACTTTATATTAGCAAAAGTTGACAGCTGTGGGATTTGAGCCAACCTCATAAAAAAATGGTGGTGCT